AATGTACTTTGGAGAATGAATGATCCATTGGTATATAAGTATATCATTTTTGACTTAATAGTAAAGTAGGCTGAAAGAACTCATTTCTGTTTTTCTGTATATTTAACAAATAGTAGGAGATCATTTGCCTGTAATATCTGGTATCTGCTTTTTTTCTAGTTTAGTGTTAATTTCTAGAGTTTTACATATATATTAACTTTGAAAGGTTTTAGTAAAAATATGTTTGAGTTTACTTATGTTCTTATAGTGGGATATATGCTATGGTAAGAAGTAAACTAGTTTAAAAAGCATGTTTCATAAAAGAGAACTTACAAATTTTGTCAGTTGAGAACCATATTAAGCATATGTTGTCGTTTTGCATCAGTTGCAGATACCTTGATTTACTTGAAAACAGCAACAACAAAAGAAACTTAAATACTTAGTGACAAACTCAATAGCTACATCTGCTTACCAATTCTAATACCAAAAACCAAAATTTGCAATGCTTGCCCTTTTTATAAAAAAATTGAAGGAAAACATTGGCGAATAAATTGTGTTTTGCCGTTAGAATGTTAGCAAAATTACACATCAACAGAATTTGTTATGACAGCATCTGTAGAAATGATGGTGGGAGTCGGGTAATTTTGGTGAAGTGGCATTTTTGAAAACATCTGTCAGTGTCAACTTGCTCTTCCTATTTCTTTCCTTTTCAAACTTTACTTTCAACTTGTCTGTCTGGAATTTTTCTGGCTCAGTAATAAGTTACTCTTGGTTAATTAAATCTATGAGCATATATAACATGACATTCTCATTCTTTCCCATCTTTTACTGTGTACCACTCTTCTGTAAATTGAGCCATCAGGTTTGAGTTTCCAGTATATCACTGCAGCCTAATAAATAAGTTAGCATTCACTGTATTCCAGTATCATTTGCTAATATGGATGGTCATGATCCACAAAGGGAACTATTATTTATATATTTTTATAGCTAGCAAGAATAACTTCTTTAAGGTGGCATAAGTAGTTTATTTAAATTTATTTTGAAAATCTTCCTGATTATCATACTTTGAGTGCCGAGTCATTTGTCTGACAATCTCAGCT